TTTTTTTTTTCGCGCTCCCCCATCTCCACCCCCAATCATTAGTGCCGCTTGTTCGGTCTTTGACAGAACATATAGGACAATTTTTTAAATAGCGCCATAAACAAAATTTATTTCAAATTTAATTCAAGCACTTTCAAGGACCTATGTTTGTTTTCAAGTACTTTCCAGGCCTTGAATCCATATGTCTGAAATTCAAGTACTTTCAAGAAGCGTGGGAACCCTGTGAATGAGACGCAGATTCACTCTCTGCCAGCAGGTGGCGCTTAAAGCATTTCCTTGGTTTCCGCTGTAAACAAAGCAGCTGCAGTTATGAACTTTAATATGCATTATACAGAGGCAAGATAAAAAGAAAAAAATGCCATCTAAACTTGTCTAAAGACAGTAAGTTCCCCTCAGACATACATTCATATAAACTCCTGCCCCTAATTGAATCGCGATTTGTTTAGCATCTCCACCGATTTGAATCGTCACATATTAAAATCGATTTTCAACCGGCTCGTGGTTAATCGTTACATCCCTAGCGATTATACATTTTTTTACCAATAAATCATAACTTTTATTGAACATAAACATTCACTGCTCATCTTGAGAGCTCTTTGGAAGCTTGATTTGACACATGAACATTAAACAACGTGTCAAAAATGCATGAGAAGAAACCAAGTGGAGACGACAAATCAATCTCTGCTCTTCGCTCAATAATATCCTTCGACCATCCATTCCAGGTCAATCTCTGCTATATAAGCCAATCCTAAAAATAATTAAATTAATAATCATTTTACAGACAATGCAAAACACTACAGATTTCATTCATATAAACAGTCTTCTTAAAGAAAAACCGACATCAGTTTCTATATTACTCAACATCTCCTCAATATGGAAACTCCCCTGTAAACCTCAAGAGGCTGAACTTCTCTCCTATCCACTGAGTGACTCAGAAATCCGGAGGTCTTGCAACAGATCGAGTTTTTCTAATACATTTGACCATTTAAACCTAGTAGAGACATGCGGGAAACTTTGGCTGTGAGTTTTCTGGAATAAAACCCATGCAAACCTGTTGCATTGCTGCTCAACGTGGCTAGGACTGCTCACATTTGCATTCTCTTAAAGGGTGGATACTCTGAGTCTGAACCTTCAGAGAAGGTTAAAAGGTGCTGGACTTCATAAGGTGGCACATTGTGACATAATCTTGATCCGATCTCTCAGATTAAAGGCTATACAGCAACTGTTTTCAGTCATGTCATGTCACGTACTACATATGAGAACCTAATTAAAATGTGATAACTAGATCCCTAGAGAACAGAAAGATAAAACCTGGAAGGAAACAAGAACAGGTTGGAAATGAATGACAGCAGGCCCTTATAAACCGGAGTCACCTGTTAAATCAACGTTCAAGTCCAATTTGGATGCATCAAAGAATGTCTAAAGCAGAAAATACCTAAAAATAACCAAGTCACACGAGATTAAGTGGTTAACAAGGCGAACCAAACGTGTTACCAAGCCATAGGCTAACTTGTCATAGTTTAATCAATTTATAGACTAACATGCTGCCATTAACATGTTTTAAAAGCATGAACTTTAGGTCTCTGTGTGTTCATTTAAATGCTAAACTAAATTAGTCTGGTTATAATACGTTGACAATATTTCTTACGTAAATGTTAAGATATAATATGGAAAGTTTTACTCAAATTGACTCAAAAGTTGGTGAACTGTCAAGGGGTTTTGCTGTCATTAATGCCTCACTTACATAAACCGGCAAAAAACCGGCACTAAAAAGCGTGTTTTTAAATACAACGTGACATTTTTGTGATAATAAATCCGCTAACGTCAAAGTCAGACACTTTCTGAGAATATGAACTGTATGAATAAATGACTATTTCGTTATCTGCAGCCTGAGGGAACTGTCAGATTTGGTGCCGTTTAATCTTGACGGCTAATAACAGCTAGTAGCATTGCTACATGCTAGCGCGGCTAAAGCTGGGCCTCATGCGCGAGCCGGGAGCGAGTCCACCTCCGCGCGTCCATATTTCACTCTCCAAAAGTGGTCAAGAACCAGCAGATACACATTTGCTATAAAACGTTTGGCTGAAAAGGTGGAAAAATAAGACTTGTACTTACTATTCCTTGATGAGCACCATCTTCTCTAGACCGGTTACGGCTGCGCGCGGGTCTGCCGACGTCACCAGCCACGTGATTCCGCTCTGTACAGATTCAGAAAGGATTTACAGAATAATAAACCATTAAGCTTTTGGAAGAAAAAAAAATGTATGTGCTATTTTATTAATGTAATTGATATTATCCTTACAAAAAGTAGTCTACCATGAGTATGGTATCAAGTGCCACTTTAGAATAATAATGAAGTCAAAAACTACAAAATAACACAAATAGGAATAATAAAACATGAAAAGGGCAGTGTGAATCTCTCTTATATTTAAGTTGCTTCTTTGTCACTCAGGACATTCATCAACCAACTTCATGAGATGCATTTTGGGATGTTTTTAATAACTGTTGAAGGTTTACATGCATGCTGGACACCTGTTGATCCTTGTTTCTTCACTATCTGCTCCATATCATGGATTTGTTTACATTTATGGATTTGACAGACACTTTTATCCAAAGTGTCTTGCAATGCATTCAAGCTATGGTCAAAGACGAAAAGGGGTTTTCGAGCATCAAAACAATAAAAGTTTAATACAGCTTTATTATTATTTTTTATTATTATTATTATGTTGGTACATTAGAATGAGTCCTATTTATTTATTTCCTGAGCAAAAATAATGACTATCATACATTTTTACCACACTCTAAAAAATGCTGGGTTAAATATAACCCAGCGCTGGGTTAAAAAGGGACAAACCCAGCTATTGGGTTGTTTTGACCCAGCGGTTGGGTTGTTTCGACCCAGCGGTTGGGTTGTTTCGACCCAGCGGTTGGGTTGTTTCGACCCAGCGGTTGGGTTGTTTCGACCCAGCGGTTGGGTTGTTTCGACCCAGCGGTTGGGTTGTTTCGACCCAGCGGTTGGGTTGTTTCGACCCAGCGGTTGGGTTGTTTCGACCCAGCGGTTGGGTTGTTTCGACCCAGCGGTTGGGTTGTTTCGACCCAGCGGTTGGGTTGTTTCGACCCAGCGGTTGGGTTGTTTCGACCCAGCGGTTGGGTTGTTTCGACCCAGCGGTTGGGTTGTTTCGACCCAGCGGTTGGGTTGTTTCGACCCAGCGGTTGGGTTGTTTCGACCCAGCGGTTGGGTTGTTTCGACCCAGCGGTTGGGTTGTTTCGACCCAGCGGTTGGGTTGTTTCGACCCAGCGGTTGGGTTGTTTCGACCCAGCGGTTGGGTTGTTTCGACCCAGCGGTTGGGTTGTTTCGACCCAGCGGTTGGGTTGTTTCGACCCAGCGGTTGGGTTGTTTCGACCCAGCGGTTGGGTTGTTTCGACCCAGCGGTTGGGTTGTTTCGACCCAGCGGTTGGGTTGTTTCGACCCAGCGGTTGGGTTGTTTCGACCCAGCGGTTGGGTTGTTTCGACCCAGCGGTTGGGTTGTTTCGACCCAGCGGTTGGGTTGTTTCGACCCAGCGGTTGGGTTGTTTCGACCCAGCGGTTGGGTTGTTTCGACCCAGCGGTTGGGTTGTTTCGACCCAGCGGTTGGGTTGTTTCGACCCAGCGGTTGGGTTGTTTCGACCCAGCGGTTGGGTTGTTTCGACCCAGCGGTTGGGTTGTTTCGACCCAGCGGTTGGGTTGTTTCGACCCAGCGGTTGGGTTGTTTCGACCCAGCGGTTGGGTTGTTTCGACCCAGCGGTTGGGTTGTTTCGACCCAGCGGTTGGGTTGTTTCGACCCAGCGGTTGGGTTGTTTCGACCCAGCGGTTGGGTTGTTTCGACCCAGCGGTTGGGTTGTTTCGACCCAGCGGTTGGGTTGTTTCGACCCAGCGGTTGGGTTGTTTCGACCCAGCGGTTGGGTTGTTTCGACCCAGCGGTTGGGTTGTTTCGACCCAGCGGTTGGGTTGTTTCGACCCAGCGGTTGGGTTGTTTCGACCCAGCGGTTGGGTTGTTTCGACCCAGCGGTTGGGTTGTTTCGACCCAGCGGTTGGGTTGTTTCGACCCAGCGGTTGGGTTGTTTCGACCCAGCGGTTGGGTTGTTTCGACCCAGCGGTTGGGTTGTTTCGACCCAGCGGTTGGGTTGTTTCGACCCAGCGGTTGGGTTGTTTCGACCCAGCGGTTGGGTTGTTTCGACCCAGCGGTTGGGTTGTTTCGACCCAGCGGTTGGGTTGTTTCGACCCAGCGGTTGGGTTGTTTCGACCCAGCGGTTGGGTTGTTTCGACCCAGCGGTTGGGTTGTTTCGACCCAGCGGTTGGGTTGTTTCGACCCAGCGGTTGGGTTGTTTCGACCCAGCGGTTGGGTTGTTTCGACCCAGCGGTTGGGTTGTTTCGACCCAGCGGTTGGGTTGTTTCGACCCAGCGGTTGGGTTGTTTCGACCCAGCGGTTGGGTTGTTTCGACCCAGCGGTTGGGTTGTTTCGACCCAGCGGTTGGGTTGTTTCGACCCAGCGGTTGGGTTGTTTCGACCCAGCGGTTGGGTTGTTTCGACCCAGCGGTTGGGTTGTTTCGACCCAGCGGTTGGGTTGTTTCGACCCAGCGGTTGGGTTGTTTCGACCCAGCGGTTGGGTTGTTTCGACCCAGCGGTTGGGTTGTTTCGACCCAGCGGTTGGGTTGTTTCGACCCAGCGGTTGGGTTGTTTCGACCCAGCGGTTGGGTTGTTTCGACCCAGCGGTTGGGTTGTTTCGACCCAGCGGTTGGGTTGTTTCGACCCAGCGGTTGGGTTGTTTCGACCCAGCGGTTGGGTTGTTTCGACCCAGCGGTTGGGTTGTTTCGACCCAGCGGTTGGGTTGTTTCGACCCAGCGGTTGGGTTGTTTCGACCCAGCGGTTGGGTTGTTTCGACCCAGCGGTTGGGTTGTTTCGACCCAGCGGTTGGGTTGTTTCGACCCAGCGGTTGGGTTGTTTCGACCCAGCGGTTGGGTTGTTTCGACCCAGCGGTTGGGTTGTTTCGACCCAGCGGTTGGGTTGTTTCGACCCAGCGGTTGGGTTGTTTCGACCCAGCGGTTGGGTTGTTTCGACCCAGCGGTTGGGTTGTTTCGACCCAGCGGTTGGGTTGTTTCGACCCAGCGGTTGGGTTGTTTCGACCCAGCGGTTGGGTTGTTTCGACCCAGCGGTTGGGTTGTTTCGACCCAGCGGTTGGGTTGTTTCGACCCAGCGGTTGGGTTGTTTCGACCCAGCGGTTGGGTTGTTTCGACCCAGCGGTTGGGTTGTTTCGACCCAGCTGTTGGGTTGTTTCGACCCAGCTGCTGGGTTGTTTCGACCCAGCGGTTGGGTTGTTTCGACCCAGCGGTTGGGTTGTTTCGACCCAGCTGCTGGGTTGTTTCGACCCAGCTGTTGGGTTGTTTTGACCCAGCTGCTGGGTTGTTTTGACCCAGCGGTTGGGTTGTTTTGAACCCAAACGCTGGGTCAAAACAACCCAACCGCTGGGTCGAAACAACCCAACCGCTGGGTCGAAACAACCCAACCGCTGGGTCGAAACAACCCAACCGCTGGGTCGAAACAACCCAACCGCTGGGTCGAAACAACCCAACCGCTGGGTCGAAACAACCCAACCGCTGGGTCGAAACAACCCAACCGCTGGGTCGAAACAACCCAACCGCTGGGTCGAAACAACCCAACCGCTGGGTCAAAACAACCCAATAGCTGGGTTTGTCCCTTTTTAACCACGCGCTGGGTTATATTTAACCCAGCATTTTTTAGAGTGCATGATTTAGAGAAGACGCCCACTAAAATGTCATTCAGTAAACCATAGTTTATATAGGCCTACAAAAAACTCTTGTCAGGCATACATGACAATACATGCCATTAAAATGCTATTTATGGATCACAGTGCAGCCCTAAAATACTAATTAATTGTCATTTTAAATCTTTACCAATTTTTGCCACTATCCTTCAAACCACTAGGCTTTACCCATTTGTTTTTAATCATTTAAAATACAATAACATTTTGTATGATCACTTTTCTTTTATATATTTAAGATCAGAATAAGTATGTTGTTTCATTTTGACAAATATATCTGTTACGCTGAATGACAATGGAACATTATATCACCCATATTTTGAATTTTTTTCACAAAAGGTATTTGAAAGTAGGCACTTGCATTTAATATGCTTTCTATGTATATACAATCACTTTTGTTCGTTTAATTTGATGCAGACATCGTCTTTGACCCATTTTCAATTGATACTTTCCCTGGGAACTGAACACATGACTTTGGTTTTGCTAATACAAAGCTATGGGAACATTATACTTGGTGTTTGATTTATAAGTTCAAGATCAAAAGGTTCAGATAATCATAATCATGAAAAATGTTATATTTATCTAAGTGTATACAAACTTTTCACTTGTGGTATACCATACTGAAATTATAACATATTCCAAGGAATAACTCTAGGAGTTCCAAGTTATCATAATATGTCCAAAAACCATGCAAGTACCATTTTTTGTTTGTGTAGACTTGGTATGCTTCCTTTTTCTAACCATTTTGCAGAATGGCAGCAAAATGATTCTCCTTTTCTTATTGAATCATTAAGAAACAACAACTTACCTGCACAAAATACTGATCTATTGAAAATGACATAGCACACAAATCTGATTATAACCTAAAAGTGACTCTCTGTGGGATAGTACTCCAATATATTACGGACATTATATTGCATATTAATTATCACGTTACTTCCATTTATTTGAGAATACTCATTCAGTGACTAATCCCGACTTCATTGCCTTGTAAGACACACATATAATGTTCAGATTTATACAACTGGCCTTGTCTCTATATCTGACCAAAGAACATAGTCCACATATGCTGAAGGTAACAGGAGGTACACATTTGTTGAACAAATATTTATGAATATAGTGAATTTTAAATCAATATAAGGATAAAATTGTATAGAAATATGAAAAACATAACAAAAACCTATTTGTAAAGTACAATCATTATACCTAATCATTAAAAAATACGGTGGAAAGTGATTTGTAATAAAATAGTTGGTTACAAATAATTTATTATTATTATTTATTTATTTATTTATTTGATCGCTTGCTTATTTATTTATTGCGGGCTTCACCCATAATTTATTTTTTATTTATGAAGCTATTATAATCTTTGCATTCTGTTGCATAGTAATATGAAAATGAATAGCAGACCACCACAAGAGAGTAAATTAACCTTTTTATTGAGACCATTTTACTGAGAAATGACTGAGATATGTCTGGATGAGAGTCCACATATGCAAAATCTCTGTTAAAAAGACACTGAATCACTGGAGAGCAAGAGAACCCATGCTGTAATACTGACACTCAATTCACATAGAAGTCAGGTCAGGTGCAATAAAAATATGAAAATGTTTTTTCAACTTTTTTTTGTGCATGGTTTGCTTCTTTAACAATATAAAAACATATAATACTGATTGCAAAACGTTGATTTAATTTACAAAACAAATAACTGTAATAACAATTACCATCCATAATAATAATAATAACAATAACAATAATAATATTTAAAAAAAAAGAAAAAGAAAAAACAAAAGAAATAAACCAGTCAAAGCCACATCATCTTCACTAACACAAACAGCGAGCCTTTTTGTCTTTTTTTGAAATACCATTTTGGTATAATCTCTTCCTTTTTTTGTATGACATGCCTTGCGCAAGTCTAAGATCAGTCTGCATGTATAAACGGTCCTTTACAGTGTAGGTGGAAGCATAAGGATTATATGCTCTCTGCACGGAAAATATAACAGTAGGCAGTTTGAGGCTTCTGGGAATGTGCACTTCCTCACCCAGACTGTCCTTTTCACTGTTTTCAAGAGTTATAAATACTCAAAATACTCCTTTTTCAAGAGAAGCCAGTCACTGAGGGACAGAATCTCAACATTTAGATGAAGGGAAGAACCGTCCCGGCGAAAGGAACTTGTACCCATTCCCCGAAGGCAGTCGGATGGGATGCGACCCCGGACTGCTGCCGGTGGAAGCCGTCGGAGAAGGCGTGACTCTCTTGGGATCGATTTTGCGATGGCCGTTGGGCGGATTTCTGTGTTCGAGTGCCACATCTTGGCCGGGCGTATCTTGTCCTGTCACGCCATGCCGGGGCGAGAGGTTCAGAAGGCCCAGGACATCTCGTTTGGCGGTGCTCAGCTTCCCACCGCGGAGCGCCCGCATTGATCCCGAGTGCTGCTGTTGGGTGGCGCTGGCCCAGAAGGTCTTGAGATTGTGGATTGCTTGGACTTTTTCGTCAATAGCAGCCAATTTGAGTCGGTTGATATCCGGGGCGTCCGCCGGACTGGAGCGCGTTGAGCCCGTCGAGGAGTAGGACAATGCCGGAGAGGGTGCGCTGCCGGCCGGAGACTGGTGGCCCGAGCTGGGTGAGACGTTGCTGGGCGAGTGGGAGATGTGGCCGCTGTAGGGCGAGCTGGGATACTTGAGTTTAAACTGGGCATGACTGTCAGAAGTTGGCGATGGTTGACTGCCTTCCTTTAGGGACGTCTCGGACGTAGCGGGGCTGTTGTATCCCGAGCTGACCTTCTGTAGGGACGACGTACGGGAGGGCGGTTTGGGGCGTGTCGGGAGTGGAGACGACTGCGCCTTGATGCTCGCCCGGCTACTAGGGCGACTGAACGCGCTCGTCTCCGAGGAACGGAAAGCAGACCCTCCAGTCGGGGTCGGAGGGCCTCCGCCGCCCATCCCGTCACCAAGCGGGACACTCCCAGTGCTTCTCTGCAAAGTCTCGACGGCCCGCATGTGGCTTTGCGTCTCTTCCAGGATCTTCTGTGCCAGTTCCTGCGGGTCCAGAGCGGCTCCGGGCGTACGTTCCTCTTGGGACTTCACAGTGCTGTCTGTCTCTGTGCTGGATTGATCGGATTCGCCCGTGTCGGAGCTGCTCACCTTCCCGACCTTCTGGAAGGGAGAGTTGGGACTGGGAACCAGGGTGGCTTTGACAGGGGACGTTGGGGTGCTGACGCTTCCCCTGGAGGACACGGACACTGCGTAACCTCTGCCGGTCCCACCGCGCACCGCGCCCCGATGGTTCCTGTGGTTTGTGGGACGAGGGAGCGTGTCGCATTGGCTACCCAATGGCTCGCTGCTGATTATACTGTATCCTTCATACTCTTCATCATCATGCCCTCCCACGGCTCCATGTGGGGACGAGCGGCTGCGGGGCACCGTCGCGTGCCGGTGGGACGCGAAAAGCCCGGCTCCACCCCGATGCCGCTCTAATTCCTGCTGCCGCGAGCGCTGACTGATAAAATCAGACGCGCCTTCGGGACGGGACAGGAAACTCATGGAAGAGGCGATGGAGCTCAGGCTATAGACGGAGATGGCATCAGAGGCCAGGCTGTCAGGGCATGGAGGGGAGAAGGGAGGGTTGGGGTAGCCCATAGGCAGCTGGTGGGACACAGACTGTGCCGAGGCCAGAGACTCCAGAGACGATGAACTGTCCAGACTCAGACGCTTCGGCAGCTCAGTAGAATCTGAGGGAAACATTAAAATGCAATTATTACAAAGTCAGATGTTATATATAACATTATATATTTTAAGGGTGTATAGATTTAGACATTTTATTTCCAGTAAAAATAGCAATAGTGATTATTTATGGCATGTAATTAATGACATTAGATAATATTATTAATATTATTATTTTGCCAGTATTGTACTGTATATACAATGTAAAATATAGGTTATATATTGTTTTTTGCCCATTTATTTAGTCAAAATTTAGTTTGCTCAATTTTAGTCAAAAGTTTAAATTAGTCCAAATTTAAATTTCTAGTATAAATATTGAAATTTTATTGGTGGGAAAAACAGAAATAATATTGGTGGGAAAAACAGAAATAATTATAATTTTTTTTAATTTAGTTTTTATGGCATGTAATGAATGACTATTATTACAAATAATATCATTTTTAAAATGGTATATTTTTACCTATATATTAGTGGTAAATAGAGTACTACTAATAAAGTTATACATATTTATATAATTGTCTCTTTTTTGGTAAACTGACAAATTTACCGAGTTTTTTGTTTTATTTTAGTCATAGTTATTGTGTTTTGCATCTTTTTTTCTTTTTGGCTGAAAATAACATTACAATTTCAAAAATAACGTGAATTTAATTTTTTATGCATCGTTATGCTTATTTTAAAATCCTTTTTATGTAAAGAACTTAAAATTACCAGTGTGTAAGATGTGCTATATAAATACACTTCCCTTGTCAATAAAAAACTAACAAAAAAACAGCTTATTTGAGTACATTGAAACAGCCTTTATCTTGTCTTTAGTATCAATGACAAAATTCTAATAAAAAAAAAACATTTACAATGAATTAATCAGTTTTGTTGATGTGATTAACAATGTGAGGGTGAAGTTATGCTCACCAAACAGTGCCAGCAGCGACTGCAGGGCAAAGTGCATGATGCGACGGTTGGCCTGTTTGCCCGTCTTCAACACCACCTCCTCCTGACCGACCTCACACAGGTCGAACCCTGAGAGAAAGAGAAAGATTGACCCCTCAGCATGGAGAAAAGCATCTCGATCAGTACTTACAGTATGTGCTGAAGCTTCTCTTACCCAGAGCGGCCAGGAACTCATGGCAGCCAGGAAGTCTCCAGAGCTGCACGCTGATGGACACTTGGATGGGCGCGAGAGAGAAATCCTGCTCCTTCTCTCCAGACTGAAGCTGCACTAAAACTTGATGGAGCTGTGGAAAAATGAGAAAGATCTTAATGATGTCAAACACAAAAAGGGCTTATTTTATTTTTATTTACACTAAAACAGCAGCTAAAAATCACTGGCAAGTTAATTTACGGTAGTGTATTAGCGTTAGTTAGAGTTAGTTGAAAGCAGTTATTTAAGCACTTACCATTCCCACTACATTTTTAACAGCCTTTAATGATAAGTTCGGGAAAAGAGAAGGAAAGATGATTGTTAAAAAGCAAACATGAGCATCTCAATAATACAGCAGGCACTCATCACAGCAGTGTAGTTATGCACAGATCAGATGCATGAGCACAGGACAGTTCACTTAAAGCAAAGTAAAGTGTGTTCTTGATACATGCTGTAACATCTTACCCGGTTGATCAGCTGTTCTCCGGTTTCTGATGCTGTGATCAGTTTACACAACGCCTGTAGAGCAGGAGGAGGCAAACCTGCGAACATGAAGGACAAATAACTCTTTAAACCCTTGTGCTGTGCTGAAAATCCTCCTAATTTGCTGTTCCCGGTCAAAAATGTCTGGCCTTTTAAAAATTGCTTGTAAATCTAGCATTATGCTATATTAATCACCAAACCTTGGATTCAATCTTTTTGTCAACTTCTTTTCTTTCAATTAGCACTGGTTTTGTATTGGTTTTGGAACTGATTCCTCAACTGAGGACTGATCTGAACTCATGCACCTCAGTTTTTTCTGTGAAAAAAAAAAGCATTATTTGTGGATAATTTTGTCAACGTTCACTCATAAACTGAGATGCATAAGCTCAGATCAACGATCAATCAGTTACAAAAAGAAATGCAAAACATAAGTCACTTGAAATATTTCCAATGACAAATAAGTGAGAATTTACACATTTGACTTTTCCTGTTCTCACTCGTTTGATCATTACACACAGTAAACACAATTTGTTTTGCCATTTTTGTGTGCGATATGCATCAGTCCAAGAACGCTCTGTGGGTTGGTAATCTTTTTCCTCCATACTCTTGTTTTTTAATAGTGAATGAGTGTGGCAGCGTGTCGTACCCAGCAGTGACTGTAGGGTGGTGCTGCATTGCTGCAGTCGGTCTCCGGGGTCAGTGGTGGGGAAGAAGACCGCCGCGGGGAGGCCCGTTCCAGCCGAGTCCAGTCTGAATCCCACCGCGGTCAGCAGAGCCTGCCAGCCCGGCACGCCACCCACCTTATTCTCCACACTCTGCTGAGACGTGTACATGGAGTTCCTCTGGCCGTTCTGGATGCGCTGGAGAGATTTCTCCACCTGGGGGAGCCACACAGACACAGATGATTTGTTTGTACCTGACAAAAAACTGGATACTCCTACTTATTGTCTGTTACTACTATTTCCATATTTTCAATTGAATATGACACCTATGAAGCACAAATAAAAATATAAGAATTAAGTAAAGTAGTGACCAAATTTTGTATATAGAATTACTGATTATAAAATGTCAGATCAAAACAATAATTACAAAAATGAATTACTCTACACGTAAAAATTATATTTAATACTGTAAAATATATTATACTACATTTTTTACTGTAACATTTCTACTTTAACATATTCTATTTATTGCCATATATATAAAGTATATATATTATATGCTTCTATATTACTATCTACATGTATTATATAATGGTACAAAATAATAACTGATATATATATATATATATATATATATATATTATACAATGTACACACACTTATAAATACTATATGCATGTTATATATAAAATTAAATATAATGAAATAATTATTACAAACATAAAATTAACTATATTAAAGCAATACTATATAAAACATTTATTTTGATTATTACAATTAATAATAACTGATACACACACAATCAAATATAATATTTTATACTTTTAAACAAAAGCATATAAAATACTATATAATAGATCAAAATAATCATTACAATAATTAAAAAACAACTGATATATACAGACATATAAACACTTAATATACACACAAACAATTATATACACTACTAATATATTTAATATATATTTATACTATATTTTTGCATATAAATAATTAATGCACATTGCATACAAAATAAAATGTAAAGCATATAAAATGTACTTTAATAGATCAAAATGTCACACACACGCACACACACACACACTCAGGTTTGTTTTTATGGTTTACGGGGACTCTCCATAGGCGTAATGGTTTTTATACTGTACAGACCGTATATTCTATTGCCCTACACCTGCCCTACCCCTAAACCTACCCCTCACAGGAAACTTTCTGCATTTTTAGATTAAAAAAAAAACTCATTCTGAATTATTTATAAGCCTTTTGAATTATGGGGACACTGAAAATGTCCTCATAAATCACCTTCTCGTTGTAATACCTATGTCATACCCATGTTATTATACAAATTTGTGTCCTCATAAACCACATAAACATGCACACACACACACACACACACACACATATATGTATTTCATTTTATATTTATGACATACATCTTTAAGTTCTTATATACACTACTATATGCACATATATGATTTTTCACATATATTTATTCTCAATAAACATAAATCAGGCCAGTGGTCCTGGTAAAGCTGGTGTGTGTTTCTCACCAGGTGCAGCAGAACCCTCAAGGCATCTCTAGCTTTGTCTGGATACTGCAGGATCTCAGCCAGAGCCTGACCAATCAGAGACGACGGGTTGTTCAGTTTCACGTCACTGCCAATCAACATGAAGCCTGTGGAGACATATTCAAATCATTAGGAGAACAGCAAACAAGCCTTAAAACTACCCACTATATACTCAATACTGCCTAATACTATATTAAAGTGACATGTGACCGTATGCAGTAGTAGTATACTATATGATATCACTGCACATGTTTAATAGTGTCAGTTATTCATATAGTATTCACCACAGTATGATTTGCTTATATACTGCACACGTTTCAATGCCGTTGCGATCATACCTGCCCAGTTGGAGGGGTGTGAGAACTGTTTGCTGCTCTGGACGGTCTTCATGGCATCTGCGAGGGCCGCACTGGCTTTGGTGCCGTTGAGCAGAGCGCTGTAGAATGCGTGGATGAATATCTTGGACGCGGCGACGGGAACCGGCCACAGAGACACCAGCACACACTGAGCTCCAGCCGCCAGGAAAGCCCTGGTCAAACCCACCACCCCGTCTGCTGTTACTTTACTGTCCGACTCCTGGTACGAGCTGCAGGTCACGAAAACACACTCGATCAGCATCATGGAGCAGTAATTCACTGGAATACAGAAGCTATTATCTTAAATAGACTGTAAAACTACTGTGGATGTGGCTGCAGTCGTAGTACAGCCTGTCAAACAGAAGTTATGTATGAAAATGCTGATGCATAGATGAGGGTGGGCAGTCTGAACAAAAGCATATATAATCGTATGAGTGATTATATATCAGGGTAACAGTACTCACACACAAAGAAATAATATACATGTTATATATACAATTATATAATTACATTAATGATAAAATAAGCTAAAACTGAAATAAAAAATTAAATTATAATAATTTATATATATAATTATAATAAAGCAACAAAAGTATTAAAACATTAACTAAAATTAAAACAAACAAACAAACAAAACAAAACCTAATTACAAATATTACAGTATATATATATATATATATAATGACTTAATGAATTACATGAATTCAAAGAAAGTGAATTATATTTATTTCATACTAAAAATATGCCTACATGAATTTATTAAAATATGAATATATTAAAAGATGCCTAATTTTGCTTAGAATAAATAATAAAATAAAAAGTAATTAAATAAAATGTAATTGCGGGCTGTCACAGATGCTTTCGGCATCGCTGGCGTCGTCCGGCACGCGCAGACTCTCCGGGATGTTGTAGTTGGATTTGACTCCGCTCTCTCCACCTCCTGCTCCTCCGCTGGGAGCCGCTGCCACCGGTCCGGAGCTGGCGTCCTGGCTGGGTGTGAGGACCAGAGCCGCCAGCTTCCAGGAGATGTGCGTGGCGAAGTGGGCGCACTCGGCCTGCGTGAGGGCACTCATGACCCGCTCCTTGGTGGCGGCGGGACCGGCCAGCGGCTGACAGCCCAGGAGATCGGCCACCATGTGAGTCTCCTCCTCAGCCGTGGGCATCGGACCCCAGAGCCAGCGGTCCATCACCGACGGCGGCAGCCGAGGATTCCCCACCACTGCGGCCATGGAGCTTCCTCCATTACACAGAACCGGACCGGCCCGCCGAGGGTGAACCTGAAGAGACAAAGACAAGGTGAGTTTGTGGGCCAAAACAAAAATTTTGCATGTTGCTGATGCTCCCTTATAAAAGCATTAAGGCACTTGAGAATGTATACTACATTGAATTTACCATAAGTCAAACCAAACCAAACCAAACCACACTCTTTAATCACAGTAAAATCACTGTAGCCTTATTATATCTCATATGCTTTATTGCTTTATTAGTCTTTGAAATGAACCAAGAGACCATCAGGCACATAGTAGTATATATCAGTGGAAACTACTAAAATAGTTTTTGTGAATTTAAATACAGCTAAAATAAAATAAAATAAAATATAAATATTACATTAGAAAATTAGAAAGGTTGCCTTGGCAACTAGCTGAAATAAATAAATGAAATAAACTGAAGTACCAAAATGACTAAAACTAAAACTGAAAGAGATATGTCAACGCTAATTAGAAATATATCACCATGTGAAAATTCCTATTTTCAATAATCCAGTAAATTATTATTATTATTATTATTTGTATTTTGGACTTGATGAATAAAACCAAAGGTTCCGAAAAATACATATCAAAAGTGATTACAAAAATGCTCAAAAGAGTTTAATAATAATAATAATAATAATTAGGAATGCACCGATACCACTTTTTTCAGTACTTGCCCGATACCGATACTTTTATTTTTGATACTTGTCGATACCGAGTACCGATACCGATTTTTTTATTGCATTTGCAAATTTTTTAAATACAGAAACCAAAAGAGTATGTATAATGTTAGTTGGTTAACTTCATTTATCAAATAGATACAGTCAAACCCAAATTTATTCAGACACCTTCAACATTTCTCCCATTATCACAGTTTATTTACTATAGTTTAGAAAATGGTAATAAAATATGACAAGAACTCAGAGTTACACTGTGTCAGAACAAATTCAGCTTGATAATGCTAGATAACTTTGATAGAAAGATATGTAATGGATTACAATCAACCAAAATAATTCAGACAGCTGTTAGTATGACAGTATTTACACAACTATCAATACTTAGTCAGGCAGCCCTTAGCCTTAATGACAGCCTGTAGTCTCCTGGGCAT